GCAACAATGAATGAATGAGAACCCAAAATCTTTGTAAATGTTCATTAAAACGAATAAAATTTAATTATAATTTTTAAAAAAGTTAAAAAAAAGTTTGCATGTGTATTTATTTGGTTGATTCAGGATAGGGCAAGGATCAGAACTTAGTTATAGGGTTGCTATGAGTTGTAGCCCATTCTGTGGCATGGAAGGGGAAAGAGGGACAGAGACACACACACACTAAGAGAAAGGGAGACACACACACACACAGACAGGCAATCTCCTCCTGTGCAGTTTACAGCCTCTGAAAACCCAATGAAGGGCGGCTCTAAGTTGATTCAGACTCAGTGGCATTGAGTTTTGAATACACATACGTCAGCACGGCCTCCGTGGACTATAGCACCACAGCTCCCCTCATTATGAACTAGACAGAATAAAACACATCATAAAAAGGCCAACTCTAAGTGAAAAGAGACTTATTGAGTTCCTGATTCTCATTTCCACGTGAACTTAGGATTTCATGAGCCCTGTCTTTGACACAGCCACATCGTTTATATCTAACGGACTTTTTGGGGACAAGGGTAAGAACTGAATCTTGAACTATATAAAGAATGGTGAAGATAATAAAACCTTTTCTTCTAAATGATTATTATGAGAGCTTATCTCTTCAACGGTATTTAACAAATATGTGCTAAACGACTACTACTAGAGTATAAGTTTTGGAGATGTTATTCTATCAGTAAGTAAGAGAACTGTCCCTTCTGGGTACTCTTCTGCATGCTGTAGTGACACATCAGAAAAAGTCTACTAGATAATCATTAATGGTTTCTGTATTATACACTTGAGATAAAGATGGATACTCTCCTCCTACATGATCTATAGCTTCTGAAAATCTACTGGAAGGTCAGCTATGAGCCATTTCCAATTGGACTGCAATCAGCAGGTGAGTATGCCATGCACTATTACCTGTTCCAGCTGTTTCTGAACCATGCTCTGCTGCTCGGTAACATGCTTGAGCTGTTCCGCATCCTCCTCTGGGAACTCACGCCCAGCTTTCTTGGCGGTACGCTGCTTAGCTGAAAGAGCTTTCTTAGATTTTCTGTGTGCACCGATTTGTTCTTCAAGGTATTTCTGCTGCATCTGAAGAAGCTGCTGGGTCTCCTGAAGCCATTCTTCATACTGTTTACGTTGTGAATCATCTGAAGAAAAAAAAAATCCATGTTAATTTTTTAAAAGTTCCAACATTATTAAAGTTACACAAATCCATTTTAAAGGAAATGTAGTTGCACCATAACCTTTGAAAGTCAAATTACAATGTACATTCTTAAAATACTTAACATTTCTAACTAGTACAAATCCAATTTCAGAAAAGCAGAAAACTTTTATCTACTGAAATTATTTTAACTAATCAATTACCAAAAACTAATTCACAACTCAAAACTAAGTTATAACATCATATTAATTCAATTTAATAGGTATTGAAGAGACAATTTTCTCAACAAAACTAAGACATAGTCTAGTAAGGCATGAGTTAAGAAATCATGTTTCATGCTAATTTTCCTTAGTTTATAAGATATTCCTATTTCTTTATAGTGAAGAAAGGCCCTATGCAGAAAGAAACCAAACGTTTTAGAAAGGGACTAATTCTATGTTTTATTTAGAGAAAATTTAGAGGTTGAAAACACTGGTAATATTTTATCAATTTTTATAATTTATAGATCTACATACAGGTAAAGGAAGGTAGTAATTAGGGGAAATTTTTTTTCATTTTTATTACTGCCATTAATATCTAGACAGATATAATTATCTCTATTCATCTTACTTTTTTTTTCTTATTTGTAAAGGTACTGCCCTAACTTCGAAAAAAAAAAATCAGCTACGGTATTGAACTTGTGATATACCTTCTGACTCACTACAAAGACAGATAAACGAAAGAATACAATCATAGGAAGGCTGAAAAATAACATCAATGTAATAAAATATTGTTATACATTAAGAATCCAACCAAAGCCAATGGGCACAATAAAGCTAGAAAAAGCCAGTTGGTTACAGTAGTTTCCTGTTTAAAATGCAAATATATTTATGTATATATTCAAATTATAATGATAATTAACAGAGGGGGGATTTTAAAAGGTCAGACTTTGGGTTTGTTCCTAAACCCAGAAGTTCCAGTATATGTAAGAACATAGAATCTAATCTATAAATTTGAAGAGTATTTTTCAAGAACAGGCTTTTTCACAAGATTTCAGAAGTTCTGCTTCTGGTAGAATGAGACCTACCGCAAGGAAAGCCTTTCTGGTTTCTGGAACCAGGAGAGCAGAGGTGAGCAAAATGAAAAATAATGGTGAAAAAAAAGTTAGCTAAACAGTCTGAAGATTTCAGAAAGGTTTAGATTGGGGAGAACTTAGTAAAAACTATCTTGAACCATCTTGGATCCCTGAAAATAACTAAAAAGGGTTCAATGGCACATTGCATACTCGATCTTCACACCATGCTGCTAAACCCAACTTATTTATATGTATATTTCCCTTTGTTTTCCCATTCAGGGTCCTTTTCACTTTTAGGAAGACAGGCTTTAGAGTGAGAAGTGGCCCAGTTTTATAGACAATAAAGTACTCAATCTATAATATTAAAAAAATAACTGCAACAACAATATTGAAGATAACTGGGAAGATGATTGCTCTATATTAAAATATTTTATTTCTATCTATAAATCTTCATGCATGGGGGGGGGAACCAAATGAAAATACATGCCTTGAAGAAACGACAGCCTAATAGGACAGTGTAGTTTGGTAAAGATGAGGGCTCTTATGCCTAAAATATCACGTCTAAACTAACTACTTGTTTTCAGAAGAATACAAATATAGTGCAAACAAGCAATCCCCAGAATATATATGACTTATTAGATTTATACTTACTGACAAAGCCTGGACCAAAATTTGGAGGATTAGGCCTAGAAATCTGATGTGTTATACTGCCATCCTAAAATAAGTAAAATTTATACATAGGTTTATTCCACATTTCAGTTAAAGGGGAAAATAATTTTTTCAAATTATGGGGAGAAAAAAAGAAATGGAGGAGGGTAAAAAATAACCAAACAAACTTTGATTTCCTAAAACTAATCATTAAAGTGTGGATTTACATTAAAAAGAGTGAATTTAGTGGCAACAACTTAATTTCTGAAAATTTATAACTATGTCCGCACTACTGTATTTTCTAGGTTTCAGCTAAATAAGAATTACATTTAAGGCAAAGGATTAGTCATTAGAAATATAATTTTAGGGTTATAATTATTTGCTAACAGGAATCTACAGAGATTCATGTCTCCATTCACTTTTTGATAAAGTTTATCTGATTTCATTTGTATTTAGACTCATTTAAACCAAGTTTTTACTCTACAGCACAAAGGTTTTCATGATTACTATTTCTAACATGCATAAACATCAAAATAAAAACCAAAAATTACTAGTCTTATTTTCCAGTTGAATGTCATATGTATCCCAATGTAACTGAATAGTTTTAAATTTCACAATTTTCTAACGAGGTCTGATAAATTTACCCAGTTGTTTTAAGTTTTTTAGACAGTATAATGATTATAATAATTGCTGTTACTATAATCTGTGTGCAATCTTTATGGTATTATAAAACAATTGGTATACAGAGCATAAACCAGAGTCAAAGAATGTGGCGAACATCAGAGAGTAAAGTCAGAGTTGGGATTTTAAAAGAGTCTATATAGAAAACCAACAACAAAGTTTATGCTTTGCCCCTTATATCAGAAAGTATCTACTTTAAATTATGAAAAGAAAACCATTATTAGCATAGAAAACTTGAAGCATAACTGCCAGGGCAGAGAGAAATTTGAAAAAGGCATATAGTATGAGCTTTATCTTTTTTCCCCCACCATAAAAGCTTCCCCAAAATATTCAAGGAAATACAGAAGAAAATATTATATGGAAGGAGCACTTCTACTTTCCTAACCATTGCTTAACATTAAGAAATATACTTTTTTTTTTTAAATTACATCTAAATCTATTTACTGTAAAATATTACAATAACAAACCAAGCCAAAACTCCTAAACCAAAATCAAAATACCTTTAGCAATGAATTTTCCTTACAGTTATTTTCCACTTCACGTGTACAGGTCTATTCAGAAATCACAGTTAATCTTTTTAAAACCTAAAATGTCTTTCCTTTTTTTAAAAAGAGAGGAATTCCTTTCTGCTGAGCCAATAATGAATTTGGCAGAGCACTAAGCCTCTCATCTCTTTCTAGACGTGGCCTTACTGTACAAAGTTGCTAAGAACCTTAGAGCATTCTAGACTGGATCAGTGGTTATAAGCAGAATTACCTGATTCATAGCTTGTGGTATGAGACTCTGGCCTTCACTGTTTTGGGTTCCAGTCACTGACTGAGCCATAAAGGGGAATCTGCAAAAAGGAAACACTAAGTATCAAAGAGGAGCATTCAGAAGTTATGTTCTATGCTTAATGCTTTTCTGCTGCAGGAAGATGAGAGCAGTATGTCTTCCTCACCAAAAACACTTTTTTTTAATGTAGTAAGCACATTTAGCCTTCACTGTATGAAGTTTATCTTAAGTGTTCTCTCAGTATCTTCATTTTACTTACGAACAAAGGAACAAGCAGAGACATTAAGAGATTACTACTTCTTAATATTATCCACTACCTTGTTAAATATCACACAGTTTTTAAGTGGGGATTACTACCTCCACTTTTTTGAAGCACCTGACAGAAGAATAAACAGTATGCATTATATATGATGAGTTTATCAGAATGAACTTAACTGGTATAAATATGATGATGACAGCAAGGTTCTACTTCCAAGGCCCACATAAATAAATCAACTGTTAATAAATGCTAATCATCAGAAAGCACTGTTACTTCAATGATGCATCTTAACCATTTCTAGAGTATCTCAACAGCAAAACTAAAAACACAAACTCTTATAGGTTTTGACATTCTTTGATATATTGCTTTATTTTAAGTTGATGTAGTTTGTTTTTAATCCTATAATAATCTACATTTCTATTCCCCTCTCATTGATATTGCTCTGTTTATTCAATGAGAGAGGATCTTTTATTACATATTCTAGTTGAAAAGTAATGTAGTAAAATTTATGGTGTTTACCAAAAACATAGACAAACAGACACTACATCTGGATACTCCTGTTAAGGAGATCTCTACCGGAGCCAAAGGACTTGCATTTTTAAGAAATCATCAGATAATTCAGATAGTGGTACAAGATGAAAGTCTGAGACAATTCCTTATGGTATCAAATACATCTCGAGGGAATAAATACTTCTTAAAGGAATAAATTTTAGAAGCACGTAATCCTATAGTCCTTCTTAAAGCACAATTCCATTTTTCCTGTTAATAATGAAAAGACATATAAACCCTTCCAACTCCTAAATCTCAAACGTTCTATTTACTCCTGTTTTTTTTTAATTCCTTGATTCAAATTCAGTTTGTGGATATTTTATTTTAGAGTTGAATTCACAATTGCCTTTATGACCTAGTATCTTTCTTATAATGTTCTAACATTTCCCCTCTGTGTAGTTTTTTTGATGGGAGAGAAAAACCAAAACCCTTTTATTAAATTCACAAATCAAATAATCTTTCCTTCAAAAATCTCTGTAGATGTTCACTGAAATGAAAAATAAATAAATTTAAAAAAAAGTCTTTAGTTTCTTCTTATTTTTTTAAAAATATTCATCTGTGGAGTGCCTGATCCAAGACATAGTCTTTGTAATTACTTGCTATGCATCAGAGAGCTGGACAATGACTGAGGATGACAAAGGAAGAATTAATGCCTTTGAGTTGCTGAAGAAGTGTCTTGAACCTACCATGGACTGCTAAGAAAACAAACAGGTCTATCTGGGAGAGAGTGAAATCAAGTTTCTCCTTGGAGGCTAGGATTTTGAAGTCTGTCTTATATCCCCCAGGCATGTATGTAGCCAAGGAGGGAATGATTCTTGGAGAAGGATATCATGCTCGGGAGGGTGGAGGGACAGCGCATGAAAAGAAAACCCCAGATAGGATGTATTGATACAATAACTGGAGCAATGGAGGTAGTTATGTTGCAATCAGTGAGACTGGCTCAGGACAGGGCAGGTTTCAGAGCTGTTGTCCACAGGGTCGTTTTGAGTTGTGACTCGATGGCACATAACAACATCATCATTCAGGATGAAAGATCTGTCCTAATTTCAAACTCAACTCATTGTCTTTGAGTCAGAACTGACTCATAGTTGACCCTTCACTAGGTTTTCAGACTATAAATCCCATGGGGAAGACTGATTATCTTTCTTGTGGTGGATATGAACCATCTGCCTTTAGGTTGGCAACACAACTCCTTACTCACTAGGGCAGCAGAACTCCAATACATATGATATCTCTAGTTAGCATTATCCATTTTAAGGGAGCTCATATTTAAATACTTTAGATTTCCTGACCAATCATGCTGCTCCTCCAAATCTTATTATGCTGTTTTATTTACCTTAAAACTGGTAATTATTTACACAGCATATACATCTGATCATTTTGCAACCAATAGATATTATTCATTTCCAAAATACAGGCTTTAAGTTTCAATGTGTTCTATCTAGGAACAAAGAATAATTTTGAGTATTTAATGCACAGAAGAATGAGAAACATTTTCACCTACCTATTCATAACCATTGGTGGCATGCCCATATTGTTTTGTGCCATTACTTTGTTTATGCCTTTGAGGGCTACCATTTTGGCTTTCATTATAGGATCTGTAATTGCATCAAAATCTAAAGAAGAAAAATTTTAAAGTTACTTACTTAAATAGTAAAATGGTAGAACATTTTTTATCCTAAACTTAATTTCATCTCAGTAATTTATAAGTGAAATATACTTCAATACCTTCCTCTTAGAAGAATTAGTTTCTTAAAATTAAGAATATGGCAATAATCAAAGTAAAATAATTTTTCATTCAAATTTTCATTATGTTTAGAACTACTTTTTAAGTAATGTAGCATCATGACTGAAAAACTGTAGTTATTTCCAATATAAAGGAAGGAATTCTATTACTTAGCACTCTTAAAGAGTTCAGAGAGAATACTGAAAAGACCTCTTTTGAATACTGGTAACATTAAGATCATTTTCGGGTAGAAAAAATACTACTTAATAAAAATAACAGTACCATTAATAATGGGATTGAATAAAGTCTGCAACTTAGAGTTCTGAGTCTTTGGATTTACCTGAAAGTTAATAATTGCTTCCATTTTAAAGCTCAAAGAGGAACAAACAAATAAATTTTATTAGTGCACTACTGCAAACATAATTTTGACTGTTATCTTATAAGGATACCAAGTACCAGCCTAATGCTCATACTAATTGCAGCTGAGACTCAAGTAAAGTCCTACCAATGTTAGGGAAGAAGGGTTCTGCTCGCTGGCGTATCATGGCTTGCATCTTTCTTTGCTGCTGCTGTTCTTGCCTCTCTTGATCCAAAAGATCCTGTAGAAGGAGAGGCTGCTCTTCCAGAAGGAGGGGCCTCTCTCTATTCTGCTGGGCTAATGTCTGATGAACCATTAGCTGTTGAGGTCCAGACATGCCACTGGTACCAGACTGACTTGTCAGAGGCACTGTTTGATTTGTAGATTTTCCTGTCCCAAAACTGTGACTTGTTGATGGACCCTGAACAAGTCCTGGATTTACCTGCATACCCTGAGAAAAAGTATGGTTTACCCTAGAGACTACTGCCACACTGGAATTCATAGCATTATCCAAGGCATGACCAGGTGGAGTCACTAACGCAGGAGGTAAGTTTGACACCTGATTGGATGGTGAGGCTGGCAAAGTTGGTGGAGGAGATCCCAGGGGCCTAAGGTCTGAATTATCTGACTTTTCATTAGCAAGTAAACTTGAGAGAACAGGAGTTGAGGCAGTCACACCACAAGAACTTATCCCATCTTCAGCAGGTAGCTGGGTAGGTCTTTGAACACTTGTGTTGGAGTCAGCAGCTTCCTGATTAGCTTTCTCAGGCAAATCGGGATTACAAGGTTGCAAAGAAGCCTTTTCTCCATCACTAAGATCTATGTTAGTAGAAGCCTGTGAGCAGGCCATGTCAACAGTACCTTTACCCTCACTTTTCTCAATTTCATACTTGGTTTCCTCTTTAGAATTTGGAGACAGTACTTCTGTTTTTATCTCACTGGTGACTGTGGACTTCTTCTGCGGAGACTGTTTATCAGGAAGAACCAAAGTGTTGTCTTCTACCTCCCTTTTTTTTGATTCAATGGACATGCACTGATTATCATCAATTGGGACATTAAGGTCTAGCTCTTCATTAAACATGCCTTTTTTATCTCCTAAGTCAAGTTCTGGATCTGTATATGCAATGAGATCAAATTCTCCTGATCTCAAGAGGTCATCCAAGTTGGGGTCATTGGTTTCCAAATTACCTAAAGTATCCAATTCATCTCCCTTTCCATCCTCTGTAACCAGATTTAAATTTTCAAGGTCTTCATCATCTAAGTCTTTGACTTCAACTCCCTCAAGGTCTTTGACATCTAGTTCTTTAACAGATGGGTCAATAGAGTCAAGTTTCTCTTCAATACCATCAGAAGACTGGTTGGTTATCTGTAAATTATCAGCTGTTGTTTCAGCTGGAGTAGATGTTGACAAAGGTGTAGATGTTGATAAGGAAGCCTCTGAAAATTCACTGCCTAATGGCTGACTAAGAGACCTCACGCCCACAGAGGGGGGAACAGGACGACTTTGCTCTTGCTGTGATGGTGGCACTTGCTCTAAATTTGGATGCATAGGTAGTTGATTAGGTAGACTTTGGGGAGGCCGTCTCATGGGATCTGTGGGTCTAGGGCCTGGAAAATCTGGCCGAGGGATGAAAGATGCATGTCTTGGATGAGAGGATGCCTCTACAGTGGGGCCAGCAGGAGTACCGAAGGGCAGACGTGGTCTTCCATCAGGTGTCCTATGCCTCAACTCAATGAATGCTTGGCCCAGGATGTTATGCTGCTGAACAGGCAAATTTTGTGGTGGATAATGCTGAGCAAGTCCAACTGGATTATTCACTTGTGAATTATTTAAAGGCCTAGGCATATCAATAGATATGGATCTTCTGAGCTGTGGAGGTACTCCAGATCCTTGCATTTGCTGAGGCGGCACAAGGAAGCGCTCCGGACTGGAGAGAGAACCATGACTACTTCCTGAAAATCCAAATCTAAAGGAAAAAAAAAATTCAAACAGTTAATTTTAGAGATATAGTATTAAGATTGTAGGTTTCTGTTAAAGGGAAGGCACCAAGTACTGTTGTCAAATACAACAGAAAAACCAAAATATCCTTAGAAAGTACTCATATGCAAGTAAATTCTGCAGAATACCCTTTAATATTCTTATTTGAGCTCTAAAGGTTACAATCTGTCAGATATTATGTCACTAGTCAGATGGAATTAACTATTCCTCTGAAGTTTATGATTAAGAGTTCATTCATTTCCTTTTCTCCCCTACTTTGAGGGTTCTATGGAAGAATTTGGTTTGGGGAATGACTGAGCTATGGTAGGAGGTCTGCTAAATTACATTAAGAGACTTAGAAGCCTCAGAGGTTAAAAAGATCAAAGATGTAAGCTTGAAAGGAATGAGAATGATAGATGGAAATATGAGATAAAGGGTATCACTTATAAAAATTTAGTAAATGAATATACTATAGGATTATATTTATTACTTATATTCTATTTATAAAAATAAAGCAACAGACATAACAAGGAAAAGACAAAGAGAACAGTAAATGCAGAACATGAGCTATGTATTAAACTAAAAACTATTCTGAGGACTTATTTAGATACTAGAGTTAGGACTGAAGTTTGGTTTAACCTTTCTAAGAGCCATTACAAAAAAGGAAATTAGGTCATAAGGAAAAACTTCCCTTTAAATTTGCAAACTTCAACAAATATTTATACTGTAAACTAAAAGAGTAAGTATTTTAAAATTAATATTATGAAATAGGGCAATTATCTCTAAGGACATCCTGACTTTGGAAGTTTAACTGTACATAGTAGTGTAGTTGCATTGTAAAGGGTATGATTTAACTAGTACTATAAATGATATTACAGCTACAACTTAATGTTAATATACTTAATACTGTATTTCCCAATTAATGCAGAATAGGATATACAGTTCCTAATAGTTCATAAAGAAGAAAGTGACTTACAGGGAAAGAACTGTCATCTCTTTAACAGAAAATAAAGTTTATAATTACAACTCTGAGATACATAGAATTTTATCATCTCTACCTTTCATCTATTAACAATTTAAATCTACTTGGAAATTTTAACCATTTACCTAAATCCATGAGGTCGCATTCCCATACCAGCAACATCAGGATAGGGGCCGTGCTGATCCTTTGGGAAAACAGCGTATCTAGGCCCCAGAGGCGGGACAACAGGAGGCCTAACGTTCCCAGGATAGGGAGGTGGAGGTCTGGTAAAAGCCTGGTTGACATTCTCTGGTTGCCAGTGTTGAAGGGGCCCTGGATGAGGCACTACCGGTGAATCCTGTGACCCCTTCTCCTGTCGACCAGCAATTTTCTTCTGCTGTTGCTGATGAAGGATGATTTCACGTAACTTTTGTCGCTGAATAGGAAGGGGGGAAAAAATCACTGATATTTCTGATAATGACATGAAAAAATGCTAACGTTTTGTGAGGAACCCTGATGGTGTGAAAGTACTCTGCTGCTAGATTTGAGTCTGATCAAGAGCGATGAGGTTTTGATAAAACCCTGGCAGTCTGCTTCTGTAAAGACTGTTGCTGTTTTGTGCCATCCAGTAGGATGCAGTTAACTACATGGGAGGGGACTGATTATCCTTCTCCCACGGAGCAGCTGGTGGACTCGAACCGTGTGCCTTTGGGATTGCAGTGCAGCTTCTTGTCACTAGACCACCAGAGCATTTTCTGGTGTTCTGGTGTAAATAAAATTATAGCCAAGAAAACCCCATAAGGCAGTTCTACTCTGTCATGTGTGGTCACCACAAACTGGGATCAACGTGACAGTACCTAACAAAAATGCTTTCATAGTATGATGTTTAAAATATTCAAATGATTCACAGCTTGATAAAACACTAGTTATACTTAACTCAGGAAGCTCTGGTAGCCTAGTGGTAAGGAGTTGCACTGGCAACTCAAAAGCCTGTGGTTCAAATCTACCAGCTGCTCCATGGTATAAAGATAGGCAATCTCTTCCTTTATTAATAACTACTTTGAAAACATGCTAGAAGGGCAGCTATTGGTTAATTCTGATGGTATAGTAACAACAATACAATTATTCAACAGATTATCTAAAAGAAATTGATGATCTAAATCTTTTCCCTTGCCAAAAAGAAAACTAAAAGGATTCAATTTAATATTTCCCTATGAATTTAATAAGACAGAAATCAGATATACAGACTAAATCTAATTCAGTCAGTGTTAAATTTACCAATTTTCTTCTTCTGCAATATGAATTCTATAGCATAAACATATTTGATGAAATAAGTGGACGTTTTTGCGAAATACATAAAGTATCTAAGAACTTATAGCATGTTTACCTGTCTCAATTTCTCTGTGTCTGCTTGAGTCATATTGATGGTATTCGGAGTATCAGTTACACCTGAAGTTGGTACAGGTCCAGGAATTTGGGAGACACTAGAAAATGGTTGAACTTGGGAATTCAGGGGAGAGTTTGACGATGCATTAAAGCTCCCCTCTGAACCAGGCCTTGGATGATCAGTGACATCATGAGTCACTTGACTTGTCCCAAAAGAGTCTGGCTGAGTTCTTGGAGTCACTGGAGACTGGTCATAGGGATCATGGGCAGCAGATGGGGAAACACGGCTAAATGTGTCTATCAGACTAGATCCGGGTGGCCTAGGAGTTTGGGAACACGTATCAGGTGGCCTTACCAAAGGGCCAGATAAAGGTGGTCCTCGATTTTGTGCTGCATGCAGGAAAAGATCTTGGTTTGGCATGAGGGCTGGTCGTGTCATTGAGGATCTCGTAAAACTCTCTGGAATTCTTGGCCTCGGTGTTGCTGGTGGCTGAGAGTAAGCAGCAGGAATTCCAGGTCGAGGTGTTCCAGGTGGATGTGCATATGGATCAGAATGTCTCTGAGTAGTTGCAGATGGAACAAACAAGTCTGTCTGTGTAGATGGCCTTGGAGTTGGTGGCTGTTGACTATACGGATCAATACTGGTGGGTCGGGGAGTTCTAGGAGGTTGAGAATAAGGGTCGGGATTGGACCGAGCTGTTCCTGAGGATTGGGCATAAGACTCTACAACAGGTCGTGGAGTTCCTGGAGGCTGAGAATATGGGTCCTGAGATATTGGTCTTGATATGGTTCCAGACTGGGAAAAAGCCCTTGAAGGATGAGTAAAAGAGTCATTCACTGCTGGATGTGGAGTGAGGGGAGGCTGGCTATATGGATCACTAGATTGGTTAAGGGAAAAACTATCTATAGGTCTTGGTGTTAAAGCAGGTCGTTCATAAGGGTCAACAGACATTCGTCTTGGTGCCTGTGACACTGATATATAAGGGTCCTGGGAGGACGGAGGGGGCTGCATTGGAGTCTTAAAGGGTCCAGGAGCACTTTCGAGAGGTGCTGGTGTCAACAAAGGTCGCGCATATGGGTCAGGGACCCGCTGTCTCTGAAACATATCTGTCCTCGGAGATGGTTTAGTAAAGGGGTCACTACTTCCAGATGGTATTGAACCTTTTGCAGTTTGCTCTGAAACTACAGGAGATCTGGGGAGGCCCAAGGGTTTGGGAAACTGATCTGTCATCACAGGTCTAGGTGTGTCCGGAGGTTTTGCATAGGGGTCGCTATTTGTTGTGGAAGAACACAAATCTCTAACTGGTGACGGCCTACTGGCTATTGGTTCATTTATCTGAATAGGCCTAGATACTGATGATAATGGCACACAGCTTTCCACTGTTGTAAGAGAATTTCTTCTGGGAAAATTATGGCCCACTGGAGGTGGTCTAGGGGTACCAACCATTTTGGCGTAAGGATCCACTGGAGAAGGTGGTCGAGAGTTAGAAGATCCAGGGGAGAACATCTGCGGTGAAGGGGACAGAGCAGACTGAGACTGAGAAAGAGTGTCCTGAATGGGAATCCGGGAAGGGGTCGCAGGGGGAGGTGGAGCTTGTGGTTTGACAAACACATCATCTGAAGACGAAGAAGTAGGGGTGCCAGGTAGCTGTTTTGTAAACAGGTCTTTATGGAATGACTGTGCCGGAGACATGTTTCCATTGCCGGGCTGAGGAGTCAAGGGACTCTGGATCCCACTGCTGGGTGTATCTGAACCAGACTGTGTCAGAAGATGCTGAGAACTGAACTGCTGCTGCTGTTGCTGTTGCTGCTGCTGCTGCTGCTGCTGCTGCTGCTGCTGCTCATTCTTGACCTGCTCAAGTTTCTGAGTGGCTTCAATTTTAGCCTGCTGCTTACTTTTCTGACGCATTTGCTGTTGAAATAGTAAAGAAAAATCATATAGTGAAAGAGGGAAATAACCAAGCCGGAGGAAAAAAGCAATAGAAGAAGAATGAGTTTGATATTATTAACAAGCAAATTGGGTTTTTATTAGATTATGTATTCCCAAAGGATGCCATTATTCATCATCACTGTGCTTAGAGCACTATACTGCTCATAATAATTCAATGAACTTTCTGAATCCACTTATAAGATTTTAATAAGCAACAAGTCTATTTTTCATCAAAATTTCTTGCTTTATGAAGAACTGTATCTTAATGATGTAACTAAGTATATTTAATGAATGATACTACTCATCTAAAAGCAAAACTTCACAATTTACAAAAGCAAATCATCCAAAATTTTACATACCTGCCTAAATTTCCATTCCTGTTCATGTTCTGATTCTCTTTGCTTTAATGGATCTTTAAAAAGGTCTGAATCTATACGGGAGCTGGGATCGATGCTATCCTGCTGTTGCTGCCTTTTCATGGAATCATTTGACATCTGTACTTTATTAATGCGTAAAGCAGCTCTATTATCTCTGGCTTTTTGCTTGGGGGAGAAAAGAGGAAAAAAATTATCTTCTAGTATGCAAGAACATGTTTTAAGAAAAAACACAAAACTTACAGTAAACTTTATGACATTAAAAACAGGGCAAGAAGAGCATGGGTTAAAAAGCTGAGATATTATCCATGGGTTTTGTAACCTTTTCTATGAAAGGTGCCCATACTCTAATCCATCTTTATCACAGATCATGCAACTTATTTTTAGAGAGCACATTTCCACCTACGTGTCTGCAACAAGTGGAGATCCCAGGGATAAGCTAACATTTTCATTCTCATTTTCTGGACAGACATTTATAAAATGCAAGAGTTAATACCCTTTTAATTTAGAGAAAAATAAAATAGCAAATCTCTCCTTCAAATCTGAAACTTGTAACTGTGGAACTTAATATTAGAAGATATTCAGAAATACTAAAAACAGTCTGTCATTATCTTACCAAAGTCAAGGTAAAAGAAGATAAAGCATATAATTTAAAAGAAAAAAAAAAGAGAAGCTATATCCAAGCAAACTTTATCACTTAAAAATATACGTGCTAAAATCAAGCTGGAAAAAAACCTTGTTTAATAACAAAGATTTCATGTGCTTTAAAATGAAAGTAAAGAACTGACTCCAACTGAGAATCTTAATTTGACTCTGAAACAATTCACTATCCGAACTGTAAACCTTATATAGTTACCATAATAATTTTTAGCAAATATTATGTTTGAAGAGGTCTTACAAGTGTCTATATTTGTCCTTTCTGATGCACAAAAGTTCTCTACTGAACTAAGTTAGACAAGAGCTTATTATAAACAAAACTGAAGCACATTAATTAAGCCTCTATGGTTAGTATTCTTCTGAAAAGACAAATGTTTAAGTGAAATGAACTAAACATGCATACAATATAGCTGATTTTCAATCCATAATATCCTTCATTAACTATCTTAATAAATGTCATGCTCCTATGTGTGATGATTTAGGAAGTCATTATAAAAGTTTCTGCTGTTCAGGTATTAGCACCTACTTTCTGCAAGAGAAAAAGAATTTTTTTTTCTCTCTCCACTAGCCATGTATAAAGATATAAATACACAGAAGTTTTTAAAATACCACATATGGTGCTCTTTCCTGTGAGCTTGCTTTTCTCCACAATTTAGCAATCTGCTTCACTCTGGTAGTCCAGTCTACAACAAAGAACACAGTATACACTTATAGAACCATGGTTTTGTTTTGTTTTTTTTTAAATTGCTGACAATTATTTGATTCAGGTCAGGGTTTCTTATCAATTACTTTTATAGTAATTTGTATGTTGTTGGCATCTGCTGTGGAGTTGGAATTGACTCATAGTTGACTTTCCAGGGGGTTTTCAGAGACAGTAAATCACAAAGGAGGAGACTGCCCATCATTCTCCTGTGGAGCAGCGGGTGGCTCTGAACTGTGTGCCTTTGGGATTGCAAAACAGTTGTTATTTTTCAGGCCACCTATATGAGGTTTATGGCACAATACAGAGTCTCTGGCACAAAACAGGTCAAAATACTCATTTTTCTGAATGAAGTATCACCTTAGTCATAAGTTTTTTAATTGTTAAATTAAAACTGGAAGATGCTGAGCAATAAAAAATGTTGGAGATGATCAGGTTGGCTCAGGATAGAGTGGGGTTCAGAGCTGTTGCACATATGCATCTCACTAGTATTTGAGTAAAATAAGAACATGGAAAAGACATTATTTCTAGGTATTTCCATGAAATTTCAGTTTTATGACAGCATATAAAATGTAGTTGAAATTAAGACTCAAGGACAACTGCAGAAGAGATTATGCTATATTTTAAAAAGAAAGTAAGCTAAGTGTTCAAACATCAATAGATAAAATGGAAATCAACTGAGTAACCAACAGACTTGAAACAGTATTTCATGAGGTTCTAGAATCAGTTTGTATCATGATTTAAAGAAAAGGCTTTTTAAAAAAATGCACCTCTACTGAAGGACAAACTACATTGATGCAAATGCAGCATTTATTTATTTAAATAAATAAAAATACCTTTAACATTCAGAGAAGAGCCAATTAATTCTACTCAAGATATTTCAGAATATAGAAAAAGGTAGAACACTCTTGAATTGACTCTATGAAGTAAGCATAATGCTAACAAAGTCAGGAAAATTATTGACCAATATACCTTATGAATAAATGCAAAAATTCCCAATAAAACTGTAGCCAGGGGGTGGGGTGGGCAGGGAGAAAAATGCAACAATGAATGACCGGAAATCCTAAGTCTCTGTAAACTGTCATTAAAATGAATAAATAAAAAACTCCAAACAAACAAACAAACAAACAAAAACCAAACCCCTAAACAAAAACCTTTAGCCAATAGGTCACAGCATTATATGGCTTTTTGTTGGTGTGGTTTTTTTAAAATTTTTAAAAAAAATTTATTTTGTTGTTGAATTGGATCCTATTGGCACAGGAGATTGCCTCTCCTTCTCCAGCGAAGGAACTGGTGGATTCAAACCACACGCCTTCGAGACTGCACCACAGTTTCAAATATGTAAAAAATCACCCAATGTAATTAAGTGGGATTTATACCAGGCATGTAAGAGTGGTTCAACACTACAAAACTGTTCTCAAATTCCTAGTCAGAGAAATAAGACCAGAAAAGGAAATAAAAGGTAACCAAATTGGCAATTGAGGAGGCAAAACAATCTCAGTTTACAGATGATTCCACACATAAAAATTCTGAAAAAAATTACTGGAAATAACTGATTTGGCTAGCAAAGTGGCTAAAGTGGGTGCAAGATTAACATAGAAGCATTTGCATTTCTCTACAGTAACAAGAATCCTGATGAAAATAAAGAAAATAATGCTATGTACAATAGCTATCAAAAAGGTGAAATACTTAGGAGTGAGTCTAATCAGAGATACAAAAGATTAAAAAACAAAAAAAATTCCCTTCCAATGTAAAACTATACAGGCTTCAGCATGGATTACTTCAACATGAAGAAAACAAAAATTCTTACAACTGGACCAATAAACAACCTCAGGATAAATGGCAAAAAACCCCTGAAGCTGTCAATGATTTAAATTCATTTAGATCCATAATCAATATTCCTGGAAGCAGTAGCCAAGAAAGTAAAGAGAGTAAAGAATGGACTGCACTGGACGAATCTGCTGTGAAAGATCTCTTTACACTTTTAGAGAACAAGAATGTCACTTTAAAGATTATGTACATCTGAACCAAGCTATAATATTTCAATTGCTTCACATGCATGTAAAACTGGACAAAGACTAAAATATAATTGATGCTTTTTCATTATGGTGTTGGTAAAAAATATTACATCTATCAAGGAAAGGAAAAAGAAAAAAAACTGTCTTAGAAAATGACACAAGGTATTGTGAGACTCAGTCTCTATACTTTAACCATATTAGCTGGAGGACCAATGAAAAAGGCTACCAAGCCTTAGCCAGCTAAGACAATTCCCAGAAAGATAGACTGATGTAGTAACTGCAATTATTGGATTAAGTAGAGACTATGAGGACGGCACAGGACTAAGCAATGTTTCACTATGTTGCACACAGGATTATTATGAGTCAGAGCTTATGCAAAGGCACCTAACAACATAAAAAAGAAAAAAAATTTACAAAATTCTACAAGAGACAATGAATGAGATCTACACCAAGAGAAAATTGCATCATGCTCACTGACAGGAAGATATAATGGTATCAAAATATCACCACTACCAAAAATGATCTATAGATGTAATGAAATTCCAATCCAGATTCAATTATCATTTCTCAAAGAGACAGAAAAACTGATTTACCAAATTTGAATGAAAAAGAAAGAATCTAGACAAGCAAAGCACAACTAAGGAAGAAAAAGTAGTAGTAGTAAGCCTTACACTTAACTGAACTCAAAACCTACTCCACATCCTCCATGTTGAGCAAAACAACCACTGGCCCAATGACAACTGGTCCAATGAAACAGAAGCGAGAATCCAGAATTAAATCCAGGCACTTAGGGACAAGACAACAGATCTTCAACAACAACAACAACAACAACAACAACAACAACAACAATGAATCCCATCAAGTGAGAAAAGACCTTAACAAAAGATGCTGGCAAAAAGCACCATTTCTACTCATTTGTAGAAAACAGGGAGAGAAAAAAAAATGCCTATCTCACACTATATATAAAAATTTAAATTGAGAAAACAAACAAAAAACCCCAAGAATTTAAATTGGATCAGGCAGACACACTCATAAAACCTAAAACTATAAAGATCAAAGAAACAGCAAGGGCAAATTTTGTTAAGGGCAAATTTTGTTGAGTAACTACTGAAGTTGTAGAAAATTGTCTATTCCAGCAAAGTAGCAAGATTAACATACAAAATCACAGAAAGAACTAGTTCAAAGTACTAATGAATCATCTGAACTTCAACCTGAGTCTAGATGAACTAGACCCCATTGCTGGCCACTCTACAAAATATAGAACAAACAAACAAAATATAAAAATGGTCAAGCTTACAGAACTGAAAGACTGATGGTGCCTCTAGCCCTCAGTCAGCCTTCAAGCATGGAGAAGTATGTGCATCTCCATGGCTCCAGGTGTAGCCAAACACCACACTGGGCTGTAAGATGAGTAAAACCACTAGGGAGGCATTCCTTCCTTGGAATAATCAACCACCTACACAAAAAAAGTGGTATTTGCCCAGGGATATTGCTCAAAGGCAGGAAGGTGTAGGACAGAAGGATTAATAAGAGGGATAAAGTGGAAAGATATCCTGTATGGACTAGTGCTACAAAACAAAATGTGTATGAATTGTAAAACCAATTCTTTTTGTAACTTCTACGTAAAACACAATTTGAAAAAAAAAGTTAATATAAAAACAATATGGAAGTGGGTTTCCTATTAAAGTTAATTACCAAAAGGGAGATTTTTGCTGGACTAAATGAAACAAAGATTTTTATGGATGAAAGAAAATTGGTAAAATAGCAATAAAACATACACAACTTACCAGGGAATTCTTCCTTTAAGTTAGGAAAATTCATATTTGTGTACAGAACTGGTGCAACTGTTGCCATTTCACCCAAAGCCTCTTCTTTCTCCCACTTCAGGGTACTTCTCTGGGTATTTGACATAGTATCATTTTCTCCTTCCATTGGAGGAGCTGAGGATGCTGTCCAAGAGCTACTAGGATCATTCAACAGTGCATTAAATGCTGGATTTTTGTCCCTGGGAAATAATATAAGAATTTTACAACCATAAAATAACTCTTAAAATAGTACAGTTAAAATACAACGTTCATTAAAACCAAAGTAAAAAGTAACATGCACGACAAATGCTGCAGAAGACTAAAAAAATGTAGTAACAGCAATACTGTGCACAATAATTTAAACACACTAATCTAGTTAAGAGGTACAAGAAAAATGACTGTGCCTTAAGTTTCCACAGAAAGACTTTTAAATACCTGGCATCAGTGTAAGGATGTTGTGCTATAGCAGAAAAAGTTCCCAGTCCAATTCCAGGAGGCAATGAATTATGTGGGAGATGAGGACTGGGTCCAATAAGGCCATTCATGAGCGGGATCCGTGAAAAAACATCTTAAAGACAAACATAATTTGAGTCAAATAGCTGTACATAACTCATTAATTCTGGGGGCGGGAGGGAATCCAAACAAGTAAAAAACATCTAAATAAAAACCTACTAACACTACACAATAGCATTAAAATAATTACACCAAAATACTGCTACGAATGGCTTAGTTATGAAATGGTGAAATATGGTTTTTAGAACTGTATTTAAGAGACCCTAATGGTACAAATGTTAAATATTTGACTACAAACACAAAAGTTGGTAGTTTGAATCCATCAGCTACTCCATGGAGGAAAGATGAAACCGTGTACTCCTATAAAGATTACACCGTGGACACAGTAAGGGGCAGTTCTCTATCCCTATATGGTTGTTACTAATTAATAAATCAGTAGTAACAGGTCTCTATGTGTACACATTTTATCAGGTTTTATTGAAAATAGAATGTGTTTGTAGGCTGAAATAGAATTTCCATTTTTATATAGATTTATTGAGATAACATATGTACAGTTTATGATATAAGGAACTGAACAGAAGATTTCAAGGTGCAGCTCAGGAAGACAAAGCCAAGTATGACAATGAAATGTACAAAGAAATGGCATCAGAAAATCAAAAGGGAACTTGTTTGGCATTTCTCAAGCTGAAGGAACGGAAGAACAAATTCAAGCCCCGGTTTCCAATAATTAAAGGATGCTATGGGCATCCATGGTGGACAGTGTTGGCTGGAGCTTCCCGACTAAATCAAGCCTGGAAGCAGGAACGGCATCCACTTCCAAAATGGCTTGCCTCCAGAAACTCTATGTATGAACAGTGCTCAGGCTGTTCGTTCATAGGGTCGCTATGAGTCATCTATGACTTGACGGCATTAAACGACAACAACAACATGGAGAGAATACTGAATGATCCAGGAAGTATCAAAACATGGCAGGCATACACAGAGTCATTGTATACACACACACACACACACAATTGGCTGACAGAGAGAAATTACACTAAACAGGCAATGGTGATGAAGGAGGAAGTTCAAGCTGCTCTGAAGGAACTGGCAAAAAAATAAGGCCCCAGAAGTTGATGAAACATCAACTGACATATTTCAACAACCAGATGGAAGTGATGTAATACCAACTGACATTTTGCAAAAAATGCAGCCCTGCATGTGTGCACCATATTGTGCCAAGAAATATGGAGGACAAACCACCTGGCCTAAAAAGACTGGAAAAGATTTATATTTATTCCTATTCACAAAAAAAGGTGATCAAACAGAGTGTGGAAATTATCAAACTGTACACCCGCAAGCAAAATCCTGCTGAAGATTATACAAAACCAACTAGAACAGTATATCAATAGAGAACTGCCAGAAATTCAAGCTGGATTTAGAAGAGGCCGTGGCACTAGAAATATCACTGCCAACGTCAGATGGCTCTTGGCTGAAAGCAAAGAGTATCAGAAGAATGTTTACCTACATGTCATTAATTATGCAAAAAACATTTAACTGTGTGAATCATACCAAACTGGTGTTAACATTGGAAAAATGGGAATCCCAGAACACTTCATTGTGCTCATGCAAAACCTGTATTTAGATCAAGAAGCTGTTGTCAGACAAAGCAAGGAAACACTGCGTGGCTCAAAATAAAGAAAGGTGAGCATCAAGGATGTGTCTTTTCTCCATACCTTTTCACTATAAACACAGAACAGATAATTTGAGAGCCTGGGGTTTAAGAGGAGAAATGTACCATCAGGATTGGGAAAGACTCACCAAAGAACTAAGTCGTACAAATGGCATAACCTTGCTTGCTAAAGGTTGAGGACAACCTGAAACATGTGTTGCAAGTGGTCAAGGGCTTAAGTCTTCAACATGGATTGAAGCACAACATCAAGAAAAAAGATTTTCACCACTAGGCCAACTGGCAATACCATGACAGATGGAAAAGAGATTGAAATTGTTAGCAATTTCATCTTGCTTGGATCCACAATCAATCAACACTCTTGGCACCAGCAGTCAGAAAATAAAAAGATGAATTGTATTGGGAAAGTCTGCTGTCAAGTACCTCTCCAGAGAGCTAAAGAGCAACAATGTCAGTTTAGAGATTAAGGCGTGCCTAATCTAGGGCTATGGTCTTCTCAATTACTTACTATGCTGGACAATGACTAAAGATAACAGAAGAATTATCCATGTCTTTGACTTATGGTGCCGATGAAGAGTACTGAATGTATTATGGACTGCCAAGGTTCAGTTAAGTCCTGGAGAGGGTGAAACCAGTTTGCTACTTGGAGAAAATGATTTTGAAACTCTGTCTTGCAGATTGTGGGCATGTTGCCAGCAGGAACCAGTCCTTGGTGAAGGACAAAGTTGGAAGAGTTGAGAGTTAGTGCAGGAGAGGAAGATCCTGGATGAGATGGATTAACAGTGACTGTAGAAATAGGGGCAGGTGTGCCCGAGGCAGTGAGACTGGCTCAGGAGGGAGCAAGGTTCAGAGCTACTGTTCATAGGGTCTCTACGGGTTGTAGTCAACTCGGCAGCTCATAACAACAATAACATGGTGGCTTTGTGGTGAGAAACTGTACTGCTAACCCAAACGCATGCAGTTAAAATCCACCAGCTGTTCCACGGAAAAAAGATGAGCAGTCTCCTGCTGTGTGATTTACTGCCTCTGAAAACCCACTGGATGGTCAGCTATTATGCACACAACAACAACAACCACCATTAAATATGTATCAGTTCTACAAGAATGCAACTTAGCAAATGCTAGTTAAGACTTTTCAGTGAAATGCTCTTTCATTTAAAATTTATAGATGTTTCTTCTATTTTCATCCTATTCCTGTTACTACAAAAAAATTGCTTATGACAAATTGACATGGTCTCTCTCAGTTCCTAAGTAACTTCCTATTAGGAATTAGGTGAAGGTTTTCTAAGATACTTCTGAACATGTAATATTTTATCTATTACCACTAATTTGGCAATTATTAAAAAGACCTACAGTTTGCATTCTGGTCACACTGGGTTTCTCTTTACATATGACCTTCCTGGTTTTGGGTTTATAATTCTGTTAAAGACAATTGGTTGGATAGCAAGAAAATGGATGCAGCCCAAATGCCAATCAACAAACGAATGGGAAGAGAAATTGTGGTAAAGTCCCACAATGCAATACTAGGCAGTACAAAGCAGCAACAATTTTGTAAATTATAACTTAGGGGAGACTAGAGAACATTTTACTGAGCGGAATACTCCAGTCACATAAGGACAAAGTGCTAAGAGGCATAGAGCAATGTTAATTAATTATATAAAATTAAAAAAAAAATAAAAATATAAAGTATGTGAACTTACATAAAACACAAAGTATATGGACAAAACATAATATATGATTATATGCAAACCAATTTTATTTTTTTTAAAAAAAGGAAATGAAAAAGAAAAAAGATAATTGGTTGGGTGGATTCCCTGCCCTATAGTCCACTTCACACACTTTGGGGGATAGTTTTATTATACAAATGCGGTGCATAAAACTCACATGGAGATTAACCAATTACTATGTCAGTTAAGTGACCATGGCGTAAAATGGAGAGCCACAGAGAGATTGAGGGGGAGCCTCACTACCATGAAGATGACCTTGAAGTCTTTCTTCTTATTAAATACTATATTTCCAGAACAAATTGAGTTCACAAGAAATCTTTATTTACTGATGAAGCTAAGACTTCAAATCTTCAGTACAGATTAAACTTTAATAAAAAGAAAGTAAAAGCTCTCACAACTAAACACTATAAAAACAGACAAAAGACGGACAGTGTTAAGGATTTCATTTTACTTGGATCTACAATCTATGCCCACAGAGCAGCAGTCAAGAAATCAAGTGCTATAAAAAAACTCATTAAGGTGTTAAAGATCAAGAACATCACTTTGAAACCTACAGCATACCTAACCAAAGCCATGATACTTTCAATTGCCTCCTGCATGTGTGTGCAGGGAGCACTGGTGCCCTAGTGGTAAAAAGGTGTGCTGCAATCCCAAAGGCATGCAATTTGTTTTTATTTTTTTTTAATTTAGGTTGTTTATTTTTCATTTCAATGAACATCTACAGAGATTTGGGGATTCCATTCACTCATTGTTGCACCCTTCTCCCCGCACAAACCCCTCCCCCCCCATTTGCTACTCTCCTTGAAAAGCAAAAGAAAAACTCCCTCATTGGTACACA